AGAAAAAATTGCAGTAACCAGTTTGGTGTGATGCATGGGTAAAAATATTCAGATGCCTACAACTGGCTAATACAGTGATAAGGGAGGTTGTGGGTGGTCTCACAAACCGATGTTGGCAGCTCTAAAATCATTTTGTGTACTCTTATCTGGGTACCACAAGTTAATTAAGCACTTTAAAACCTTTTGTCAACTTGCCTGCACAAAATTTTAGCCACACTGGATGTAGCTATTGTGATCACTCAAATGGAATACATGTATTTGGTCACTGTAATATTTTGCAGGACTCTTAGACCAAGGACTTGAAAAAAATTTGAAATTTTATGACTTAATTGTTACACTCGAATTTTCTTTACCTTATCCCAACTATTGGAATAGTATAACAGTTACGGTCATTATGAGAAAGGACATAAAATTTTACTTCCTAGCTATAAACTCTAATCTCCCTTGATCGCTATAGCTACAAAACAATGTAGTCGTGAGTGAGCTATAATAATACAAACATTGATGATTTCAGTGAAGGTTAGGCTGTCACTTGGCTTTACGAGTGCGTTCACTAGAAATCTTAGTGAACGCAATTTATTCCTCCTAATTATAGATAAACGCTCGAAGTTCACTCGGCTCTAAGAGTGCGTTCACTAGAAAATCTCAGTGAACGTAGTTCCTTCCCCCGAATTTTCAATGAACGCTCGAAGTTCACTCGGCTCTAAGAGTGCGTTCACTAGAAAATCTCAGTGAACGTAGTTCCTTCCCCCGAATTTTCAATGAACGCTCGAAGTTCACTCGGCTAAGCGAGTGATGTCACGCCACCACGCGAGTGAAGGCCGAACGTACACCATGTTTGTAAAGGGAAAGAATCTTTGTGTGTACAGAAAAAGTATTTTCCAGCCCCACTTTCCAGACTAACAATTAGCGGTTGGTTAACCGGGAAATGACCTGAAGACAAGATATTCTTCCGTCTGTGGCATACCTATTCACTATACTGTCTCCGTACACACAGAATCCATGGATAAGAGTCAAGCTACCCACAGCTGGCTCTCGATCATCAAGAATCACAATAAGGAATAACTGGAAATTTCACCACTGGCTCCTTACAGGGCCATTACAAGTATTTACGTTCGCTACTTAACCATCAATCTCATCGGTTCTTTACAGGGCCACCTAAATTTAAAGTACCTTGCCAACAAATAAATTATTACTATTATTTCTGAAAACGATTCTTTGACTAGAAAACTATGTAAAGCCGGCCACTATGAAACCAAATCAGTCATTCACTGGCAGAAATCACGAGCAGAGTTGTTTGTCTCAAGGCTGGGGACCCTACTGACCGACGACCCTATATTACTCTCTCGACTCTAAGCATTCAACCAGGCATCACTGATCCTCTCAAAGGTATGTGCTGGGAGAACCTAAAAGCTATGAAGGAAAAATAAACTTGAGCCAATGGGGCAATCTCTAACGGATAACCATCTTGAAGCAATCTTTTTTCTTAGATCACCAAAACAACTGAGTCTGCAAAAAAAGAAGGTGCTTTAGACACCAACGTTTTCGATGTCATACCAGGATACGTTGGGAAAGATCTCTACAACTAGCTCCAAAGCTTTAAACATTATAGTATTCATCCCAATCAGTGTGGAGTTACAATAACAGGCCAGAGAAGATCACCTTAAGGTATAGAGGCAATCATGTTTGCTGGAAATTTCAGTCAAGAAACAGTGTACTCAAGAAGGTTACTGATCTTTCTCAGGGTCATCGGACGTTGAACAACCTTAAGCGCCAACAAATATGTATCAACCTAAAAAAGTTAAAAAAATTAGCCTTTAGGGCTTACAAAAGTCTTTGCTATGCCAAAAGTCGCAAGAAGTCCAATTGAAAGGAAAACTTTAAATGCATCTAAGGAATACTATTTTGAGCGTCAAGAAAAGGATGCTGAACATTTATGGAGACTAAAGCAGCATTAAAATCGATATATTAAGAATTTATTAAGTGAGACATCAGCTTTTCACTGTAACCCTCATAGTCATCTCTTGAATCTTACAGATTTTTACATAGGTAGAATATGTATTTGTATTAATGTAGCGATGAAAAATGTAAGGATTTAGCTCGAGGACTTTGTTGCTGAGGTACTAAAGTTGTGAAATAAGAGATAATTAGTGAGAGATAAAGCTTTTTACCAGTATTTTCAGAGTAATCTCACAAATTTTCCAGATTTTTAAATAGGTAGAATATGTATTTGTATTATTGTTGCGATAAAAAACGTAGAAATTAAGCTCCAGGGCTTTGTTGCTCGGGTTTAAAGTTGTGAGATAAGAAAAAAAAAGTTTTGATTACATATTTTTTGTAAGCTTTGAATCTTTACAGCTTTAAAAAATAGCCCTGTTCATAGATTATACGGGAGAAACTGCAAATCAACGGCCTTTTGAGGCCAACGATTATTTTATGGCATAAGAAATGCACGGTACTTTTTAGCATAATTATATTTTTCTCACTTTTTACAGCTTTTTACTGGACCAAATAAACTG